GAATCAAAATGTTTTTATTTCAAATATTGAAAACATTGATTCCACAGCTTAAGTGATAAAAAGGAGGAAAAGGAGGATTCTGATGTGAAAAGGAGGAAAAAGAGGACATGCTTAGGGGAAAGGAGGAAAAGGAGGAAAAGGAGGAGGTTTCACATGCCAGAATTTATAGTTGATCCAAATGTTGAAAAACCTATAATAACAGTGGATGGCGAATTAAAATATACAGAATATTCAATTACAGTCCGTGGTAAATGCATTGGACAACCTGCAATCAATCAAACATCTTTTGTACGAGGATATTGTGATCCACAAACAGGAAAAGTTGTACCAGGTCCCAATATGAATGATATACAAAGTTATTTCCAAAAATTATAAAAAACGACATTCTTCAAAAGTTCTACTTTTATGTCATAGACATATTTTATCCATCATCAAAATTCTGTGCTAAGCAAATTCATTACATCCTATTTCGTTCGTATTTTTTTATTCTTCCATATAAATTCATGTCTGTATTGAATTCTGATTAAAAATTTGTGCTTCTATTTATTTTTTTCACAAAATAATATAAGAAAAAATATTGAGTCAAAGGAATTAATGAAATAAAACTTTTTTGAAAATAAACTTATGTATAAGTTTTTACAAATACTTATTAAAAAAGTCCGGACAAAAAACAAAAAAACAAATAGACTTTCTTCCTACAGTTCAAATGAATTTTTCACATGTTTTTGTTTTAATTATTATTGTTTATTATAATCTATTCTTATGAAAAATAAGATTGAATTCGATTCTTTCATTATTCATTCTTATAAATATCATAAGCAAAAAAAAACATGAATTTAATTATTTTATAATCTCTATATTTATAAAGTAAGTGTCTTTCTTTCTTTTAATTAAATCATATAAAGCTATTAATTTAGCATTGATTACAATAATAAATGGTCTAAATTGTGTATCATGCGTTGCATCAGCGAATTTAGGTTGTAATGATCCGTATGATGGAGCTACATCGGGAGATATTCCTGTTCCATAAGGGTGAGGTTAAGTCAAGCAACCATTATCATGATTTCGTCCCTGGTAAAGGACTCTTCAGATGGCTTAGATACTTTTATCCTTTTTTAGGATTGCAAGCCCATATGCTGTAGATAAATTTGCTTGGAAGAAAGAATGTGTTTTGCTTATTTATAAGAAAGAATAGAATTAAGTAATACAGAATTCATGATTATCAGTTACTGAGAAGTTTTCGTTACGACCTGCATCTTCCCTAGATGCAGTCATAAGAGATACAGATGGATCTCTCTTGACTGATCATTCGTTCTCTCTCGTCTCTCTCATATATATCACTTGTTTCTTTCCTTCCATTTTATACATGTTCTTTCCATTCTCCATATACGATGACGTCATCTCTCTTGTCATCGTCTATATCAGTATTTTCCTTACTCTTTCAGCATTCAAAGGATGTTTACATCGATCATCGTTTGGAATCTTTCATCCCTTGAATATTTCTCAGTCGTTGCACTATATATAGTCGCGTCTTTTCTATAATTAGTTGAAGCAGCCACAACCAGTTTCGACCTTGCTTAAGGGTCTCATCAGGTGGCATATTTAATTCCATTATAACCATAAGGGCTATAACAGAAAACCGAATGTCCCACCCCATGTCGCACATTTATTTGAACTACCGCTGGTATACCGCGGTACTTGAAGAAACCGGCGGTATACCGACGGTTTTATTGAGTACCGCGGTGTAATGGCGGTTTTATTAGGTACCGCGGTATACCGGGAGTCAAAACACTACCAAAATACAAATCTATTTATCTATATTGATGACTATTTTTGTTTCTTTAATTTGGATAATTCTCAACATAATAATGAGGAGTAAGTATTTATTACAGAACTTTTAATATTTTTCTTTTATTTAGAGTAATCGTAACTCCAAGAGGTAAAGTAAGCATTTATGTAAATTATTTGTTTCTTTCATTTAGATCGATTTTAAGATCACAATGAAAAGTAAGTACGCATTTATAAAATAATTTTTTGTTGGTTTAGAGCAATGTTAACAACAAAAAGAAAAGTAAATATTTTTTTCATGTAATTTTTTTTTCTTTTATTTAGATCAATCCGAAAATGATCGACTTAACAAAACAACGAAACGAAGACGAAGCAACCATTGCTAATCGTATCTACGATTCGAAGTCTTACAAATCAAAGAAGAAATGCAAATTTTCATTGATTGCAAGTTGGTTTAGTGAATTTATTTATTAAAAAGCCTCTTAGTTTTATATACACGTATCGAGCGTTGTTTTCGAGTGAAATGTAACCGTTATTGAAATTCTTTTTGGAAACAGTTATATTTCACTCAAAAAATAATTCTCCATGTCTAAATAAAAAAGTAAGAGGACTTTTTATTAAATAGATTCACTAAATCCATTTGTGGTCTTTGATAATTTACATTTATTCTTAGATTCCTAAGACTAAGGATCAGTAGATTCATATCCTGATTATACCGATATACTGCCAGTTGTTTTGTTACTACCGGTAAATACCGGCGGTGAACCGCCGGTATATCGTCGTTTTTTTCTGCAACTACCGGCGGTATATCTCCGGTTTTTTCCCGGTTTGAATCATGTGGGACTCTTATATAAAATAAGAGGGAACCGGTGTTAATGTTGCATGACTGCAGTTAGGACTATGCCACCCGACGAGACCCTTAAGCAAGATCAAAACCAGTCGTGGCTACTTCAACTAATTGTAGTGAACTAATCGCTCCGTTTCATTGCACGAGATCAATGATAGCTTCGCAAAACAGCTTAAGCTTTATCATTCTTGTATAGAGACTGTTGTAATTCCATTAAGGATTCACAGGATCACTAAGCTTCGTTTGAGAGCACATGCAATAATGTATACTACCGAAAGTTTTATGTTTATTCGTTTGACTACGAATGTTTCAGTATTCACTGTTTCAATTAACTTGAGAAGGCACATCAGCCCAACGGTATAAAAAAAAATTCAATAGAGGCTATTAGCAAACATTGGAGGCATAATAAGGAAATATCGAAAAAGTGTCTGTGCAAATGTCTAATGCATGAGTCACAGAAAAAGATCAACGGTTGACAGAATGAGCATAATTATACAGGCCATTCCGTTTATTTTGAAACAAAATACAAATCTTTTTCTTCTTTTACTTTAAAGCAGTTATTGCAAAAGATGTTCGATATGGGATCCATGGGCATAGTAAATTAATCTACAACGCTTTGCCCAACTTTCCAAAGCGTTGTCGATAATGTCTTGCTCAAGATTTTCCTACTCAACTTTTATAGCATTTTTTAGTCCTTTCAGCGTTGACACTTTGTGCTTTCGTACTCGTTCTTTCATAATCCCCCATATTGAATAGTCCATTGGTGTAGCATCAGGACTCTTAGGTAGCCACTCATGCGGCATTATAACA